GTAATCCGTAACGATGAGCGCTTTAGACCACAAGGCTAATCGGGCTTTCTGCCGTAAGCAAATTACTTAATAATCCTCATGTTTGTATAAGTGAGTATATATCCTGATATAAAATAATATTTTCAAGACCGCAGGCATATCATATGCCAGCACACTGAAATAAATATGTTACTGCAGAAAGGAAGCGTAAAGATTTATGGTTCTGTTAAGTTCAACCAATATGTTATGTTATTTGTGTATTTTTGTTATTGTTCCTTTTTCTGATCTTTGTTTTTTATATACATGGTAGTTCATGATATTATAACAAAGTCTCTGTGTGACTTAGTGAATACTCGGTACTTAGACATCCAAAGTACAATAATAAATGATGCTATCTGCCACTTATAAAAATATCTAAGATTCATAGTGTGAAGTTCATTTTGAAAACGTATGTTCAGATACAGTCAAAGTACTTATATTTAGCATAGGCTATATATACTTCACAGTGATATAAAGTATCGGATATAAAGTATAGCCTATACTTACTTCCCAGTGATATATCGTATAGGCCAGGGGTCTCAAACACGCAGCCCGTACGTAGCATGCGGACCGCCAACCGTATTCTGTGGCCCTCAAAATGATTGGTATCACAAGGTGTCATGAGAGATAACAAAGGTGGTGCGGCCCTTGGGCCATCGAAAATGCCGTAATGCGACCCTCATGGTGGTGTGAGTTTGAGATCCCTGGTATAGGCCCATTGATATGTATAACATTCAATCACACATTTGAGATGACCAAGACGACCACAGACAATATTCTTCCTGTTGCATTTCAAATGAGTTAGAATGTGTAGAATTGTCTGATTTGCTGATTTTGTTTTATTTAAAAAAAATTGTTTCTACTCTTATTCTCCTAACTATTTTTCAAGACATAGTCTTAGAGAAAAAAAAATATATAGTATATTGTAACAAATGCAATGTTGAAAATGTTGAAAAATATGACTTTTAAAAATAGTCACTCCGAACCTTTGCAAAGGACGTATTCGTTACTTTAACACACTTCAAGTAATATATTGGATTTTATCAGTGTTAGCTTCTAAATCTTACAAAGCATTTTTGAACGCTTTATCTGTATCTAGCATAACTGCATTCAAATGAATTCCTCTTAAAAAAGCACGATCATATTTATACCCATCAATGCGAGTAACATTTGTTATCTGAAACAGTGTCTTAAAAATATCATATCCCAGTGGAATCACTTGCGCAACATCATATATCTTCTAGCAAGATACCACATTGCATTTTCGATAGTTTTCTTCTGAGAAAAAAATATAACAAATGGCCAAAAAAGAAACTGTTTTCTCCAAGGTGCAATTTCGAAATTAGTTAACTATAATTTCAAATGAAATTAGTTTATTTTCGTTTCAAATGAAATTATTTTATTTTCGTTTCAAATGAATTTAGTTAATTTTCGATTCAAATGAAATTAGTAGGTTTCTGTTAAAGGAATCAAAAACTTTAATAATACACGGGGCTCATAACGGTTCAGAAACCGTATTTGTTTTTCATTCTCTAAATTTTTTATCAAGAATATTATTAGTTGCAACTTTGTTGTCTTTCGTTTGCGTTTTGTTTACTAAGATTTCTATTGAGTTGTTTATCGTGCCCACAATATGCGTATTTATGACATTAGTACGGGAAATGGAACAATTCTGTCCTGAGTAGATTACTGTATAATCACTCCGGTGTCCTAGTGGTTAGAGCGTCCGCCTCAGATGCGAGAGGTCGAATCCCAGCCCAATCATATAAAAATTGTATTAACAGCTGTCTCGCTTGGCGCTCAGCATTTAAGAGGTTAGTGCTCGGATCATGCTCGGATTGGTTGGCCTGATGTCAGAATAATGTGAATGGGTGGAACATCATACTATGCCTTTGGCATGATGCCTTACTGCTAGATATTACTGTAAAACCGCCAACATCGTAGCGATATGACTGACAAATTGTAAAACTACGTTAAATATCCAAAATACACACAAACACACAGATTACTGTATCATCGACTGATTTGGCATGATTATATCCTTGGCTAAATATATGTTGAATTATTTTTATATGCAGCAACTAGTGGCGTCACGAGGGTTGGTGTCACACAGTGCGATTACACATGGTGTCACCACCATGGACCTCCTTCCTGCACAAAAATTAAAAATTTTATAGACAGTCATTTTGTTCTCACCCACTCACCCGGTGCTGTCCGCACTCCCCTCCCATCTCCGTGACACCACTCAAGGAAATATATTGCTATGTATAACATGCCCCTATTTACAGCGTACCCATATGTACAGCGTACATCTATGCTTATAAGTCGAGACAAACATCAAATCTGTCTTAGCATTATGCTAATTCATGTTTCTTTTTTTTCTATTGATTATTCCTATCAATTTGGACCGCCTCGATAGCCTAGTGGTTAGAGCCTCCGCCTCAGATGCAGGGGGTCGTGGGTTCGATCCCTCGCCGAGTCATACCAAATACTTAAAAATGGTACTAACAGCTGCATTGCTTGGTGCTTAGCATTATGAGCTTAGTGTTAGGACTGGTCGTCCTGGTATCAGGATAATGTGACTGGGTGGGACATCATGCTACATGTCTGCGGCATGATGCCGCAGTGCTAGACATCACTATACAATGTCACGCATAGTAGCGATATGACTGAAAAATTGTTAATTCTAGTTAAAAAATCCAAATCACACACACGCACACACACACACACACACACACACACACATACCAATCGCTGGCAGATCTGGTTTTGTGGAGCTTGCAGTTTGACTCGATTTATATGCTAATATATACGGAAGTCATCATCATCATCTTTGGCAGCTCAGTCTAGGGAGACCATGTGAGTAGCGTCCTTAGAGTCTTGTCTGTCTCTGGGGTTATGGCTGTGCAGGCCGATGCGCGAGTGACAGCCCCTATTGTATCTGGTGCAGACGTACTGGGATTGATTACTCTTTAAAGGTGTACGTTGAACCAGTCCTGGCTGCTGTTCCTTCTTGCCAAACCTGGACATGGCTGTGCTGCAGATAGCGTCCTTTATGGCGTTCCACTTGGCTGTGACATCATGCTCTGGCAGGTGCAGGAAAGCCTGATCCAGGGCTGACAAATACTCCTCTACCTTGGAGGGGATAGACATCTGCGCAGTGTTGATGAGAGGGTTACCTTCTGGTTTGGAGCGGTGTAGTCTTCTGGTGCTGAACCCTGCTGCACACAAGCGTGTAGTTAGAGTCTCAGTCTCCACTGTGGTAGCTTCTGGTGGAGAGGATACTGTTCAGGGCAGAGCGCCTGGTGATGACCAAGTCGAGTTGGTGCCAGCGATGAGACCTGGGATGTTTCCATGACACTTTGTTTTGTGTCTTATACTTGAAGAAGGTGTTTGTTACGCAGAGTTCATGATAGAACTGATCTTTTCTGTCTTATGGAGACGTGAAGGTGGGTGCAAAGACACTGAGGATGTTGACAAGACCTTCAGCAGTGGCAAGGCGAATGAACAAGAGACGTTTAGACGCTCATCCGACACACCAGGAGAATGTTTTTGATGGCAAAGCTGGTGGAGCTCCTCAGATTCTCGGCCCTTCCAGAAGAAGGTGTAGTATTCCTCTCTCAGCGAGCCGTTGGAGGCAAACCTGGTTTCCTGGAGGGCAGCTGTGCTGACATTTAGACTGGTGAGTTCTCTGTCGATGATGGCTGTCTTTCTGTTGTCGTCCACCTCCCTGAGGTTATCTGAGAAGCATATGCACATGGTACACACGTTCCAGCTTGAGAAGGGAACATTTGTAGTCTGCTGTAATGGTTTATTGTTTCTTTTGCCTGGTAAGGAGTTTCCGTCTGTTGTCATGGTGAGCAACACACTGAGCTCCAGGCACCCACTGATGAAGCAGACAGACGTTGGCGGGCCATCATCTTACTGACCAGAGGCTGCCTTGCTTAAGGCTGGGAGTAGTCGGCCAATGGGAATTCATGATCTCTCTCACCGCCGAAGCTGATCCGTGGTGCCACTTCCCTACATCGATCGGGTGGGACTTATAACCCGTAGACTGCCAGCTTCCATATTGTTTCCTTGTTCAAGGGCGAGCCTGGAGTGACCTCTCCAGCGGTCAAGCCTGGGCGTGTAGTATGGAGATCCTGGGCTTCCCAGACGTCAGTATCCCCCTCTTGTATTTGCTGGTGTGGTCCAAAGGAATGCTGAGAATGACATATGTCACCAGTTTGGATGCTATTGGAAGGAAGTGAAACTCAGCCGCCATAGTGGCTACAATCTGGATTTTCTGTCTGGGTTTACTCCTGCAGCCTTACCATCTCCCGAAGATATCCACAAGGCAGCGGAACCATCATCCGATGACACTTCGTTGGTTTCGAATTGCAGTTTCCATCTCCTAGACGAACTGCCTGACAAGGCTAACAAGCTCCATCTTCCCGGTTTTGAGTCAGTTTTCCTTCTCTTACACTGGTTGCCTGCCAAAGCTAACGACCCCAGTCTGCCCACCCAGTTATATCCCCTAGCACTCGGTCGCGCCACTCATCAGGCTATGTGCAAGCACCCCACATAAAGGTGCTGTTGTGGACAGAATAGTGTAGGAGAGGCCATATGCAGGTACTTCCTGCCCAGCAAAGCTAGAAAGTAGTCCCGCAGCGATGACTACATTTATAAAGGAAATGATATGAGAAACGCTTCACTTTCCGTTACAAAGCGGAACATCAGGCACAGACCTCTCACACCACGGAATTTAATACCTGCTAATGGTGATATTATCAATGTAAAATCGAGATGAACTTAAACACAATAGCTGATGTTATCTTTTAGTTTTCTTGTATCATTGTGCGGACTCTGATAAATGAAGTCAACACAATTATACCATATCAAGAAAACTGATCTACGAATTTAAACAAATAAATCCATGCAAATACAAGCAAATAAATCGACAAATCATCATAGTAGTACCAAAGAATTACCTTGTGATTGCAAGTTTTTACTTTCCGGAATTGTGCCTAAATTGTTTCCTGACAATCGTTTTCCCTGGATGATTTTACGAGTGAATTTTCTACTGGAATCACTCGGGGTAGTCTTACGTTCGTTTTCTCTTGTAGAAAAGCGTAGACTAATTTTCAAATTTTCTATTAGCACATTTCATGTAAAACAATGTGAAACCACGCCCACTTTCACAGCATGTCCAATGAAAAATGTTTCCTCTCTGAACTAAGCTCAAACAATGCATTAGTTCGTCTGACAAACACGGATTCCTCGTAACTTTCAGAAATGACAGTTTACATACATATCAGAAGTTGACCCCTATCCTGTTCAGTTTAAATAAATGTAGCCTTAGTTGAATATCGCTAAACTCGTGTCAGAGACGATACCAATTCGTGTATTTTGGCGATTTAAGCGTGCGCATGTCTCCATAAGTCTAATTATTAGCACACGTGTCCAACTAAGTGTTTCCTACAGAAATCGACAGAAAATGTGACCGCACCTCCTCCAGGTGCGTGACGTCACATATGGACCCCTTCCCCAGGGTCGGGTTTACATGACGAACTACATTGAAATGTATGTTAAAAAGCTATACAAACTATGGTAAGGATTGAAGTGTTAATCTGGATTTAACAAACAATCCTAATCTTGTTTGGTCAAACAATTCATATGACAGCCAACCCGTCTCATATAGCCTCGATATGTCAGTAACAAAGAAACAGCTGCTAATATGATACGTTTTCATTATTTGTTATTAGCTGCATCAGCCATAACATATTATTTTTATCACTATGATATCAATAGGATTCTAACGTAGTGATAAGTGTCTGAAACTGCTATAATTTTGAAGAGAGATATGGAACAGTGAAGACCCAGTTCTCATGTGACACGTGCAATTGTAGCTCTGCTTGGGTCAACTTTATGACTTCATTAATCATGTAAAATAGGACGCCCAATCATTGTAATTACACAGAGGTATAAAACTAATCGTTAATAGCAAATGATAAATCTTTATTTTAACCATTGTGTGTAGATGCTGACAAGGCATACAAGACAGACACATGAATAGGTTTGGGGTTTTTTTTGTTTATTTGTATTAATTCATTTTAGGAATAAGTATTGTTTGTGAATATTTAATGCGCATTAAGAGGAATGAGAGTGGAGTATTTGCTTTTGTTGACACCTCTTAGCCAGTCCAAGCAGATATGGCTGGTTAGGGCTTATAATAGTGGAACCCTATGTTTCCAAAATGTGTGTTTATGTGTGAATTGTGTATTACCCTGTCCTCCCTTATAGATGTTGGAATGGGTAGTTTTAATGGTTTTAAATAACTTGCTACGCTTGCTTTGTTTGTTGTTTTTGTTGGTTTTTTTTGTTTGCTTTTTTTGTTGTTGTTTGTCAAGCATTTTAGTCTTTTTATACCAAAGCTCAGACAACTATACTTCCTTCCCTTTGTCTGGGCTGGCAGAGGGCCTGGTTTCTAACTGTCTTTGCTCTAACTTAGGTTAATGCTCCCTTTTTCAGTAAACTATACAAGTTTTAGGGATGCTTTCTTTTCCTGTTTTCCCTATGAGTATTAAAAGCTAAAAGTGACTGCCAAAGGCGGGTTGTCCTGATGTGAATGATATTTCAATGTAATGAGAGTGGAGTATTTGCAACATTTTGATATGTATAGGGCAGCAAAGATATGGTAGACATGCAATCTGAGCTGGAACTGCTAATAAAGTCACGTGTTCTCCGGTGATAAAAGGTGCAATATGTCTAAGGGAATTGAGTCATTCATACAACCGGTCATATTTCTGAGGAACAAAAAGCATGCCTCAGATTTATGTCGTCGTAGTGATTTGCAAAATATTATAAATTTTGTTCTGTGGACATTTCTTCGCAAACACACACACACACACACACACACACACACACACACACACACACAATAACAAACAAAAATCTATTCGGACTACAACTGTAAGACAATTTTCATTCCCATTGTCTAGAAAATGGGAATGAAAAATAGTTATATTCATTCGTAGCTTCTCTGTTAATTTTTCTATTTAAGTATCATAGTGGTCCGAATGGCATCTATCGATATACATTCGAGATATGATCCGCAGAATTGACGGAGAAGTTGCGAATGGGATAGATTTTAGAACCACTTTGACGGGGTCGATGTTGAAGTCTCCTAGAATTATGTGATTATTGTATGCTGTGCAAAGCTACTACATTGTAATATAAATTAGAAACATGCAAGCCAAATTTGACTGAGATCCAATAAGAATTAAGGCATTATCATACGAGGAGGAAAGATGGTGAGTCCGACAAGCAGGGATTAGGACTCGGATAAAACAAGATGTAGCATGCTGTAAACCTAATTCAGCAAAACTAGTAATTAAAGGCGTGATTTGGATTTTTAACGTAGCTTAAAAAAAAAATTCAGTCAAATCGCTACATTGAATACATTATGTTGTATTATGTCCCACCCAGTCTCCTATATCCATT